CTGCGACCACAGACTCAAGGCCAGCCGAGACCAAACGCTCCTGTGTTCAACCTCGTCAACTGGGCCCGCCAGGCGGCCTTCGAAGCCCAAGATGCTTTGATTGAGGAGAGTTACCACAACTCAACTCCAGACCACAGTTCTCCGGTGGACTCAGTGACCTCCAGCACGGAGTCCGAAGACGAAGAGAGCAATGATTCACTTGCCAGCAATCTCGAAGCTCTGATGATCGAGGTGGTCAAAACAGTCTCTATCACAGCCATGCCTCTCAGACCAGCACCTGCTCGCCCACAGACCGGGTTTCAGCTTCCCCTAAGGCTGCAAACACACAGCCTGCATTCGCCGATGATGACACCGATCAACAGCCCCTTGAACTCGGTCTCATGCTTCTGAAGCTGCGGAGAATGGTGGATATCATAATTGGAAGCCTAATGTCTTATGAACACAAAGATTGAGCGTTGACAGCGATGACTGATAGATCGGCACTGCAGCAAAATTGAAGATTTGATTACTGATGGGAGTTCGGCTTTATGAGGCCTGGCTCGAAGAGTAGCGGTGACGAGCCAGTAGGACGAAAAGCAAATTTATGCGACTTGTAAATTGTATGAATAGAAATGGAATCCATAATTTAAGCGCAAATGCGTTCCAACATAAAAATTGTCTTTTTTTCTTCTAAATCACATGTATGTAGAACTTTGCTTACGATCCCATTTTCTTAGTAGCAACAATGTGTCGCAACAAGGATTTAGTTGTACGCATGAACATGCGTATATTTAGGCACAAGCGTCACTCGCTGTAGCCTGCGCGTTAAGACATTAAGCAGCGTGCAACAGCATCAACACCGTCAAGGTTATCCACGGACGAAGCACTTTACACGCCTATCAACCAAACTTTAGAACCAATTTACAATTTCTTCCCTCGATCGACGTTTTCAAGGTCTTGAATCCATATCGCACCTTTGGTTCATTCCCAGTTTCTAGCTGCTCTACTGCTGGTCACCCGCCAACATGGTAAGCAGTCTATAGGGGTGCTACAAACAACAGGAGCCACCGTTACTCACAATTTGGATAGTCTCTTCGCATCGTCCCAGCTGCTGCTCACCCTCAATCTACACAACAAGCCATCGGCGCACCATCAGCGCCAGGTGTCCACGACACTCTCCGTGCCAATCTAAACCTCACAGCCCCAGCGCCGAAGGCCGGCAACGCCCCTATATCTAACGAGCACGATCTGCAATCCACGCATCCTCTCGAATCACGTCTTACCAAATGGCGCCAGCAGCAGGAGTCTCTGAAAATGGAGATGCTTAGACGGAATTATGGCATCGCCGAGCCAGTGAAGAGGCAGATGGAGTTGGCCATTGCGAGGCAAGGCGAGTGGCAGCCAGCGCAGCTAGGAGTTGGCAACGGCGCGACTGTGCATTCGGACATCCTGGCTGGCAGGGACTGTGAAATTGGGTGGGAGGATGTGTTCGAAGGGGACGTGGCTAGAGCGGTATCAGACTTTCACACTGAGATGGAGAAGAACTTCGGTATGAAGTGGTAGAGAATGATACTATGACTACCAGAGGTACCGTTGAGCATGGCGCTTGATCTGCGAGTTCGCATGGACGTAGAGAGGCTGCATGTATCACAGCTGGTATGCTGCTGTACCGTATAGTGAGTAAGTCCTATGTTGAAGCTCTCTTAACGAACAAATAGAACGCTTCATCCTAATCACCTGTCCTTTATGGCCAGAGATCACTCACATCATAGTGTCTATACCTGACGATCAAGCGTGGGCACTTCAGCCAGGCCGTCTTTCCTCGTTTCGAGCTTCAAGCCAATGTCCGGTATACTTCTCAAGAGTCGCATCAGAAGTCTACAGGCCGTTCCATGTCCCTTCGCGTGAAATCAAGTTCTGACTATACAGTTCGTAATTTCACGATCTCGTCGTACCTTTCTAAAACGATGCACTGAAGAGCTTCTGTAACAACAGCATTCCATTGGGTTGGTTCGGCCCGTGCACTAGTCGTATTTGCAAAGGGCCACTTTTGGAAGAGAAAGAGACATTGAAACACCAGCCAGCTTGATCCGCAATTTAGCAAATGGTCATGAGCGAATACGGTCTCCACCTTCAACCGTTACTGCTTCACCCTTAACCTACCCGCCGCTCAACGCAGAGAGGTTCATACCTTTCAAAAAAAAAAAAATAGAAATAAAGACGTCTGAAAGGCGCACAAACTTTCTCATCCTCCCACCAGAGCTGCGCGACGCCATCTACGGGTTCCTCTCCGCTCGCCTTACTTGTTCAATGAACTCTACCGCGCCCTTGGCCTCTAGGCACCAACTGCTAACTCCGAATAAAAGCAGCACCTATCTACTACTCACACACCGAGTTCCATATCGTCAAGCCGAAAGAAGCTATTAATTAGCTCCTACGCCTTGAGCAGGAATATCTCTATCTTTTGAAAAAGAGGAGGGGCCTCTCGCTCCGTGACCCGGCCCAGTCGCAGAAGGTTCCAGATCACATACAAGTGCAGCTGGCGGCGGTGGGCAAGAGTGTGTTCAAAGAAAGCTTGAACATTGGACTCGCATTGAATGGAAGTGCCATTGGTTGGGCCAGTGAGCCAGTTGCAGAGATGAAACGGATGAGCATATCTTACCGCTAGAGTCATGCGGCGTTCCTAAATTGGACGGCATTGCGGTATGTTATAGAACATGCTAGCTCTGGAGAAACACAGCTTAACGAATGAGGGCAATCAGACTGGGGCTCACACCTAGAGTCTTCGCCATGATGCTGTTATGATACAATTGACGAAGTCTTGATCCGGGTCTCTTGACTAGTTGCTCGACCTTCCCCAAAATGGAATCAGATTTTGATTACCCCGTTCTAGCAATCCGTAGCACCACCCTCAACATTGCAGTTCTTGACAAGGTTGGTGACGGCGCAGCCCTCAGGTGCTTCGCCATTGGACTGGTAGACACCCCAGGCCAGGTAGGAGGCCTTCTCGCCATTGATTACGCCCTCGCAAGCTATCGAATATGTTAGGAGTGGCATGCCACCACATGGGAGGGGATGTTTGCTCACAGAAAAAGTCCTCGAGAGCGGCGTTCAAGTTGTGGGTGATCGTGCCGTTGTATGAGCCCCATGCGAACTCTTGAAAGCCGTAAATGGCGCTAACTGTGAGAGAGTTAGCAATTCGCTCTGGTAAATGGGTGTGCTAACCTTACCTGGTGTGGAGTAGCCGTAGTTATCACCGACGTCTGGTGCATGGAGGCCAAAAACCCCCTTATTGTACTCGTCGGTAGAGTCGGTAAGATCGAAGTTAAGCGCGGCCATACCGTCTGCAGCACTACCATTGAAATAGGCTAAAGGAAAATCACAGTCAGCCTTGGGTCGATCTCCTGATTGCAGGGTATAGGCGCCCAAACGTACCCGGAGTGCCTGGGTAGACGCTGAGTCTCTGGGTCTGGAGCACCAGGTTACCCAGGGTACCGTTACTGACGGCATTGAGTGAGACGTAGGTATCAGTGCCGTCGACTGTCATAGCCAGAGCAAATTCCTGGTTCTCCGGCGGCTGTCCATCTAAGACACTGTCAGACTGAGGAGCTGGCACAGCACTCGCGGCGCCGGCCAGAGCAGCAAAGGTAAGATTCCTTATATGCATGTTGGAAATTAGGCAAAATGTGTTGATGTAAGAATGAGAAGTAACGTTGGTGTGTTTGGAGGCTGGTAGTACGTTAGAGACTTTGAGAGGCAGACATGATCTTATTTATCCCCCAATGATACAAGTCCGTGATACATCATTGCCGATGTTCCTTAGTCTGAGCTTTACGATGCACACCGTTTCCACACCATCAAGGCATGTTTGCTTCCAAGCCGTAACAATGGTCTCAGTGCCCTTGCAGCCAGGCACCTCATCTCTAAGGGATGGAGTCACTGAACACGAGGTCTGTGGCGGATCGCTGTATCGGGTAACCAGTGAGTCAGAGCTAAGGGCCGTTGGTGCCTCTCCCCTTTGCTTGGTGTGTGAACTAGCCTTGGACCGGGTCACTCAAGTGTAGATCCACCAGTAATGACACGGCAATCCTTCTTTCCGCTTCAATTTTACAGTATGAGTTTCCCTTTCTTTGCCTTGTAAGCTCTTTTCTACATGCGTGTGAACACCTTGAAGGGAAAGTAGTCGAGGTCCGGTAACAATTTCGAGAGACCCGCAAGCTAGGGTAACAATCGACAAGTACATCGCACTACCCTATAGTTGTTTTCTATAGTCGTAGCGACATGTTTCATTGCCAAGACAATTTCTTGTAAAGCCCCAAAAGTCTCTACTTATCCCAAAGCACGCTTGAAGCATTCTCGAAGAAAGAGCAGCAATGAAAACCACAAGAGAGATCCATTCGAGTGTCGGTTTGCAATGGAGGGTGCAGTGGTATAGCACCTGAGCAATGGGCGATGTTGCTCATAGTAGAAGCAGTTCTTGGCCGGCAAACAGGCGGGTTTTACAACCCATATCCTCAGCCGCATCAGCGTACTAGTAAGGCAGTACCAGTGCCACAAACAAGTCAAAATCCGACACTCTCGCAAGACATGCGGTGTTGACGATCCGAGTCCCAAATACCCGTTATTTTACCCGAAGGAAAACAAATAAGACCTGAATCTGTTATTGGCGGACAGGTGCAGGGTCACACGCCTCCTCGACCAGGTGAATATACTGCGATTGTCTTGAGCTGACCATAAGACGTAGTGCAGTCATGCTGCTCAACAAATCAATGCCCCAGTTGACTCGATCATGAGATGCCGATAGTGAACATGGTTTACATGTTAGCGCATATAGCAAGCTAAGAATAATGATCTTGAATTGGGTTATATCACATAGCTCAGAGCGAGGTGATATGCTTGATGGACCTGTTGTGCACCTGCATAACTTGATATTCCTAATATTGTAGCTATATATATTTTGCATCAACTTTCGAATGTCACTCACGTGATGGTTGAGTTGATTCTCATTCAATCGCCGCTAAGCCCCTTTAGCTCAGATGGTAGAGGTATGCTGCAGTCAATCTCTTGGGTGCGAATTTCACCAACTAACACTATCACAGCGCGTCACTAGTATCAATTACTGTCATGACGAGGTCGCCAGTTCGACTCTGTCAGGGGGCACATACATCCTGAAACCTCGTTCTTCTTTTTGTGCACGTCCTGTTTTTGCAGTCTTGCGATCCATTGCAGTCTCTGGGCAGCTTGCCTGTGTTTTCTGCGTTCTTAGGATGCGTGTAGGAAGATACGTCAAGTTCGGGACTGACAATTTTGCCATACTCCAGATGGTGATATTGAGTGTAAGACTCGCAAGCGTTCGGCGCGACACATGACATATCCCGAGCGTCGTCGACCGTGTTCGCTAATGGGAGTATATCCCCTAACAACTCCCTTTCCGCTTTCTGGGCGGGTCAGTGACTGTTTATAAGACTAGCGAGGATAGCGACTACGACCAGTCACGGAAACCTTGAATAAATGCCATTGGTCGCTCGAAAGAAAATCCTCTCAACTATAGACTCTTGCTATCGAGTACATCAGGATGTCCCGAAGCCTTACCACTTGGCTGGCTGCATTGCGGAAGGCGTTGACTATTGATCGCTACAAGCTTCTAGTGTGCCCCTCAGTCAAAACGTGGAACTGAATGATCTGAGAAGCGGGTGGAAAGCAGCGAGCTAGAACCTCCGGCCAGATCTATGATGTGTCCGTTCAAAGCATAGGCGGAGGTTGACTGCGGGAGGGAGGCAAGTGTACATGCCAGGAATCTGGCTCATTCATCTCGCATAGTGATCTTAGTTCCTGGCGAAATCTCGCGTTGGGCTCAAAGCAAATCGGTCCAGAACTTGTCCATATAGTTTGGCGGAGACCCCAATTAGTTGTCCTGGAAGCATCATGGTGCCATGGCAGAAGACTGTGGTCACTCTGTTCAAGTTTGCTCAGCAATGGTAAAGTTTCTGAACAAACTCGTTTAAAGCAGAGCGGTCTGATCGTCCATCTGAACTAGCCGACGCGCACGTTCACAAATTCGTATCCCTCGATGATGCCCTAGAGTGGCGAAATGGACTTGCGTTACGCGTGTACCGCAGAAGATGGTATCGACCAATGCCTGACTTGTGACCACAGTATTGAGAATGGCCGACCGGAAAACGCGATTTGGAAAGGCGCTCTAGGCGGAAATGTTCCATGCTATCAAGTTATACCCGGAGGCCAACATACTGACCCCAGATTAGGGAGCGTCAACCCCGCATTTTGATATGATCTGATCACGTGCGTACATCCATCATTACCTTGAGCAGCTAGTAGCAAGCGATCTCATTGGCGTAGATGGGCGAGGGTGTTTACAAAGGTAGGCATACCGACGCGGCTCTGTGGGGAGCTCATGGAATAGTTGCGGATATAACTGGTTACAAAAGTCTCTCTGGAGTGAATGGAGCTTGTTGTCTGGCCTGTTGCGATCGCGAACAAGCTAGCCATTGTACCGGCAAGTTCACGACCCATTCCGCCGACATGTACCCCTCTTGCTGTCATGCTGTTCACTCTGAGGGACAAAAGGGTGACGGATATATTCTGATTCATGCCGTTTGCCTCCTCAACAATACATCGCCCAATCTTCCCCATTCCTTTCAACCTTCACATTTTATCGTGACATACTGGTGAAACTTGCGCCTCTTACCGCCATCACTGAGGGTCTCTTTCAAGATGGGTTCTATCGAAAGACAAGAGATCCCAGAGATCGATGCTCTTCTTGTCGGTGCTGGCTTTGGGTCGTTCACTGTTCTCAATAAGCTCAGGCAACAGGGTCTGTCTGTAAAGATACTCGAGAAAGCTCCAGATAGCGGCGGCATTTGGTAAGTGGCACTCCCCCAATTGTGGCAAAAAGAAGATCGATCCTATTCTTATCTTGAACATCAGGTACTGGAACTGCTATCCCGGTGCAAGAGTTGATTCTGACACTCCTATCTATCAACTTTTCGACAAGGAGCTTTGGGAGGACTTCACCTTCAAGGAGCGTTATGCAGGATGGAAAGAGCTTCGTCGCTACTTCCAACATGTCGAGAAGAAGTGGGATGTTCGCAAACATATCGACTTCAACAAGCATGTTGACGCTGCCAAGTTTGACGAGAGCAGGCATCAATGGCTTGTCGAGTGTGCTGATGGCACTCAGATCTATGCCCGTTGGTTCATCCCATGCATAGGCTTCGCTTCCAAGCGATACACGCCTCCAGTACCAGGCCTTAGTACCTTTAGGGGCGACGTCTACCACACCGCGGTGTGGCCACAGCATGGTGTGAACTTCAAGGGGAAGCGTGTGGCTCAAATCGGTACCGGTGCGTCTGGCATTCAGTGTGCACAAGAGATCGGTGACACAACCAAGCACTTGACAGTATATATGCGCACTCCCAACTACTGCCTGCCCATGAATCAGCACAAACTCGATCCAGAGGTGGAAGAAAAGCGGAAGAAGGACGGTACCTATGAGAAGCTTATGAACGACACCCGCAAGACGTTTGCTGGCTTTTACTACGATTTCCTCCAGAGGGAAACTTTTGAGGACTCTCCAGAAGATCGCGAAAAGTTCTATCACAAGCTCCTAGTTGAGCAAGGGGGTTTCAGATTCTGGCTCAACACGTATAAAGACATGCTCTTTGACCAGAAGGCCAACGATGAGGCATATAAGTTCTGGCGCAATTACGTTCTGACCAGGGTCAAGAATCCAGAGAAGCAAAAGCTACTTGCACCGGAGAATCCGCCGCACCCCTGGGGTACGAAACGTCCTTCGTTAGAGCAGCACTTTTACGAGACCGTTGACCAAGATCATGTTGACATCATCGACGTCAATGAAAACCCGATCGAAGAAGTCACCGAGACGGGCTTGCGCACCAAGAAAGGTCTGGTGGAAGTCGATGCCATCATTCTCGCCACAGGGTTTGACTCGGTAACTGGCTCCCTGGGACAGCTCGATATCCAGGATACCAATGGCCAAAACATTGGCGACCACTGGAAAGAAGGTCTTCAAACCACAATGGGCATTGCCATCCCAGGCTTCCCCAATATGTTCTTCCGTAAGTGATCCAGCACCTGTGTGTATTTCCAATGTATGCTCATGCTTGTGACAGTGTATGGGCCACAAGCCCCGACGGCCTTCTCCAACGGCCCCAGCTGCACACAGTTCCAAGCGGAGTTTGTCGAAGAATTTGTGAAGAAAGCAACGGCAGATGGTATTACCAGGGTTGAAGCCACCAAAGAGTCCGAGGAGCAGTGGACTAAGCGTATGCACCAAGAATGGGATGCCACTCTCTTCCCTCTCGCGAAGGTAGGTAACCCTGCCATGATGTTGTTGTATCAAAAGCTGACAGCCATCTTCAGTCCTGGTATTCGGGTGCCAATATCCCCGGCAAACGAATTGAGCCCCTCAACTGGGCAGGTGGCATGGTACCGTACGTCGAAGCGCTGCATACGAGCCTAGATAATGGCTACCAAGGGTGGATCGTGTCGAAGTAGAAGTGTAAGCTATTAGCGTCTATTGATTTGAGATGAAGTGAATCCTGTCCAATTTGAAATTACTGCGAATACCATCTTGTCCTTCTCTCGCAAGACTTGCTTCTCATGAATGCATTTGAGTTCCGTGCAAGCCGTAATGGTGAACTAAGTCACTGCATTCTGCGCTCCACTTGCATACAAAGTTCTCTTTCCGACTTAGACTAGTTGCATGTCAGCCACGTGCTTGGCACGTCTAATCCCATTCCGACGTTCCGCGATAATCCACTTCATAATCTCTGCCAAATAATAAACCCTTCCATTGACCAAATGAGGATTGGCCTGCTAGATTTCTGCAGTCTACGATTGCCGGGGAGACTAGGCTGTTCATACTGAACTCGGCTTTATGACTATGTGTCCTTGGTAAAGATGCAAAACCAAGATTTGGACTTGCACGCGCTCCTAAATACCTTGCTCACCCATTGAGTGACTTCCAACACCAAACAAGCAAAAAGCGTGAGCGCGAGAGCACAAGTTACCTTAGCTACGCCGGTTTCAGTAGGGTCTCTTCATCTGGCGAGGCTTGTGACTAACGCTTAGCTGTTGACCAGAGCATAACGCCCCCCCAAGCCGACTCCACAGAGTAGCCGAAAGATGTCGCATATAGCAATGCTGACAATGACCCACAATATCACTTCACCCGTCCACAAATAGTTATAGCAATGGACGACCCTAAGTTATCGTGCCGAAAGTTGTGTGAAGTGAACCATCGATTCTTAGAGCCTAAAGGTTGCTACAATGGCTGATAATGAGGCGTGCAAGTTGCTATCAATGTGATCGATATCATAAAACCAACCTGACCACTTGTTCTCGCACAGTCTCTCTCGGTAGTGTGAGGGGGCATGGTCATTGACACCCAACAGCATGGCACAGCCAGTTCAAGCTCTGAGTTCAATGCATCCAGACTGTCAGAACGCAGACACCTCTAAGCTGCAGAGGTTGTACTGCTGCAGTTTTCACTGGAAGGTATGCTGCTGAGGTACTAGTGGAATTGAAGTTGGTATGAGCTCAAGGGTCTCGTGCATGATATGAGCACGATGAGCAACATCCTTACTGAATAAGGTGATTGACGCTGGTTTGCATGGGACCAACACCATATACAGTGCATCCGATTTAGCTCTCATCATTTTGAAGGTGTGACACTCTATCTGCTAAACTAATATTCCGCAGTCAGCAATAGTGTTGCAAGAATCCAAGGAAACAGTTCGATCGTATAAAGCAAAAGTCCATCATCAGCTTGGAGAGGTCGACCTTTTCGCTCACCTCACATCAAACCTCATAGATAACCAGCACAGTAACATCCAACAGCCATCAAAAATGAAGACTATTGCACTCTTCCTCACTCTTCTTACCTCCACGTAAGTCCACCCCAGATAACCTCTCTTACGTTTAACGTGCGCTTACCGTTGCTATTACTCTAAAGCGTGTTTGCAGGTCATAACTGCAAATGCCAGGATCCTTCTGGCACTGGACCTCAATGGGACAGCCTCACTGAGAAAGCCTGCAATACGGTTCTCAATGGAGAGACAGAAAATTGCGTGTTGTTCAAAAAGTACCATGCCGACCAGCATCATCAAGTAAGCAGAGCA